TTTCCACTCAAAGCTCTACTACTTGAGCCACAGCTCCCCTTCTGGCTTCCCTCCACATTGATTCATTCTGAGGGGTTGACAGCCATCTTGTGATCTTGATGCCTTGATTACTTGGTCACTGGTGCCAATTGGAATTTTGTGGTTTCTAGCTTTTTTTATTGTTGTTGTCGTGGTGGCTGTGGGGCTTGAACTCAGAGCCTGGGCTCTATTCCTGAGCTTCCTATGCTCAAGACTAGTGCTTACTACTTGAGCCACAGTGCCACTTCCGGCTTTTTTCTTTTTGCTTATGTGGTGCTGAGGAATTGAACCCAGGGCCTCAGGCATGCAAGGCAAGCGCTCTACCACTGAACCACCTTCCCAGCCCTGATATGTCTTTTTTTATGTGAAATGGGATCCAGCATCTTGACTGTTGATAAGGAAGACCCTTCATGAGAAGTAAAAATGAAACAACCCATAGTGATAGTCTAGGACATTGTCTTCCAGCCCTACATGTTACCTGGAAAAGCAGAGGACCAAGGAGCTGAGATGAACCCATGAGACAATGAGAAGATAGGCCATAGGGCTGAGGGGAGGAGCTGAAGTGAGTTCAGACCATATACATGATGTGGATACCAGCCATAGACACCAAGTGGACAGGATGGGCAATTCTCCCAACACAGTTAGATTCTTCTTAGGTCCAAATTCTTTAAAAAATGAAGCATCAGCCTGGTGCCAGTGGGTCATACCTGTAATCCTAGCTACTAAGGAGACAGATCTGAGGATCACAGTTCAAAGCCAGCCACGGTAGGAAAGTCCATGAGACTCTTATCTCCAATGAACTAATTTAAAAAGTCAGAAGTGGCCCAAGTAGAATGCTTGCCTTGAGCAAAGAGTCTCAGCACCCAGGCCCAGAGTTCAAGCCACAGGGCTGGCAAGGAAAAAAAAGCAGAATGAAGCATCCCAGCCAGGACTGATGGTTCACACCTGAATCCTAGCCACTCAGAAGGCTGAGATCTGAGGGTCACAGTTGGAAGCCAGCCAGGGCAGGATCGGCTGTGGGACTTCAGCCTTGAGCTGAAGAGCTGAGGGACAGCGCCTAGGCCCAGAGTTCAGGCCCCACGACCAGAACCAAAAAAAAAAAAAGACATATCATAGTCTGCATGGAGGTTTATAATTGTAATCCTCGCTATTTGGGAGGTGGCGATCAGGAGGATTATGATTTGAGGTCAACCCAGGCAAAAGGTTATGGACTAATTGGTACTAGTGGCTCATGCCTATAATCCTAGCTACTCAGGAGGCTGGGATCGGGGGTCTGTGGTTCAAAGTCAGCAGGAAAGTCTGTGAGACTATCTCTGATTAACCACCAGAAAATGGGAAGTGGCATTGTGGCTCAAAGTGATAGAGGGCTAGCTAGCCTTGAGCAGAACAACTCTTGGGCAGTGCCTAGGTCCTAAGTTCAAGCTCCATGACCAACCCAAAACAACGAAGTTATAGCCTTAATTTCAACAAAAGCTGGGCATTATGGCACATGCCTGTCATCCCGGCTATGTAGGATGCATATATTGGAGGGTAATGGTCTAGGCTGGTCCAGGCACAGACACAGAATCCTATCTCTAAAATAACCAAAAGCAAAAGGGGCTAGAGGCTTTGTTCAAGTGGCTGAACCCTTAACTAGGAAGTGCAAGGCCCCAAGTTCAAACCCTAGGACCCACCAGTACCAGAAAAAGAAAAGACAGGTCATAAGGAGGCATGACCTCCTTGTTTCCTTTTTCTATGTAGAAATGACTTTCTTACTTGGCATGATGGTACATATCTGCAAAGTCAAGATATTTTGGAGGCAGACACAGGAGGATGGAGAGTTCAAAGACTAAGTATACAAATCCTATCAAAGGGGGCCGGGAAGGTGGCTCAGTGGTAGAGCGCTTGTCTTGCATGCCTGAGGCCCTGGGTTCGATTCCTCAGCACCACATAAGCAAAAAGAAAAAAGCCGGAAGTGGCACTGTGGCTCAAGTGGTAGAGCGCTAGCCTTGAGCTGAAGAGCTGAGGACAGCACCCAGGCCCAGAGTTCAGACCCCACAACCCGGACCAAAAAAAAAAAAAAAAAAAAGAAATGATATCAAAAAATAGGGGTGGGGGGCTGGGAAGGTGGCTCAGTGGTAGAGCGCTTGCCTTGCATGTCTGAGGCCCTGGGTTCGATTCCTCAGCACCACATAAGCAAAAAAGAAAAAAGCCAGAAGTAGCGCTGTGGCTCAAGTGGTAGAGCGCTAGCCTTTAGCTGAAGAGCTGAGGGACAGCGCTCAGACCCAGAGTTCAGGCCCCACGACCAGACCCCCCCCAAAAAAAAAATAGGGGTGGAAGAGCTGGGTACAGGGGCTCAAGGGCTAGCCTAAGAGGCATAAGGTCTTGGGTTCAATTGCTATTATGGGAAAGAAGAAGCAAAAGACTGCCATTAAGCATCTTTGGTGCCAGATTCAGCGAGCTCATGTCTGTCTTGACCCCACCCCCTTCTCATAGCTGGCCCGCTTTTACCTCTATTTTACTGTCTCCTTTTCCCTATTGGCTTTTTCCTCTTACCTGGAGATAAGCAAGCCTATCTTCCCATGAAAACCCTTCCCTCATCCCTTCAGTTCTACACTGACCAACTGCTAATTTGGACACGATTCTGATTACAGTAAAAACCATCCAGATGTGATCTGTTGTCAGCTGTACTACCATATAGGAAAGAAGACTACCACTGGCTAAGTGTGTGTGTGGTGTGTGTGGCCAGGGGTGGGGGTGGGTGAGGGGGGGTGGAGGAGGCGGGGGGGGGGGCGGGGGGAAGGGATATAACGAAGGGAGTGCCAGGCTTCTGTGCTGGATAAAGTGACAATTATTATTGCCTTCTCTTGGGTATGAACAACAATGAAGAGTGTTCGCTTTTCAAGAAGGGAGTGAATGTGATGCCCTCATGTTTCACATGCACCATCTAAATCTTTCAAGTGGCAAGGAGTTGCCAACAGGTGTATCTCTTAAAGGGACAGCAGCAGCAGTTTTTTTCAGTAAGCAGATACTGACACTCTACAACAACTTAAATGACAAAAAAATTTAGGAAGACTTGTTATTTACTGGGTACTTGCTTTGAGGTACTCTGCTAATCACTTGAACTGCACCCCCCCCCCCAGTTCTAGTGCTTAAAACTCAGGGGGGCCTGGGTACTGTCCCTGAGCTTTGTTCAAGGATACACTCTACTCATCCAGACACAGCTCTACTTTTCTGGCTTTTTTTTTGGTGGTTAATTAAACTCTGTGAGATGAGTCTCATGGATTTTCCTGCCTGGGCGGGATCTTTAGATCTCCAATTCCCAAGTTGCTAGGATTACAAGTGTGAGCTGCCAGAGCCCAGCCTGAACTGCATTTTTTTTTTTTTGGCAGGGGGGGGGGGGGGAGGGGAGGGAGTGTCGATTGTGGGGCTTGAACTTTGGGACTGAGTGCTGTCCCTTAGGCTCTTCAGCTCAAGGTGAGTGCTCTACCACTTGAGCTACAGGGCCACTTCCGGATTTTTGGTGGTTTATCGGAGATAAGAGTTTCACAGACTTTCCTGCCCAGGCTGACTGTGAACCAAGATCCTCAGATCTCAGCCTCCTGAGTAGCTAGGATTACAGGTGTGAGCCACCGGTGCCCGCCTTTGAACTGCATTTTTATAATCTTTATCACATACAAGAAAAGTGCTATTGGCCCCTTTTTATAACTGACATTCTATTACAGAGAGACAGAAGCACAGAGAAGTGGAACAAGCCACCCCACCAAGTGCTGGTGGCTCATACCTGTAATCCTAGCTACTCATGAGGCTAAGGTCTGAGGGCTGAGGTTTGAAGCCAGCCTTGGCAGACAAATTCAAGACACTCTTATCTCCAACTAACCAGCAAAAAGCTGCAAGTGGCTCAAATGATAAAGTATGTCAGTCTTGAGCAAAAAACCCAAGCAAGAGTGGGAGATCCCAAGTTTAGGGTAAGCCCTAATTGAGGCCCTCCCTCAATTCCAAACAACCCCTGGCAAAAACCTTAAAAAATACACTCTAAGTCAGCTGCAGCTATGAGCAACAGCTTGCAATTTCAGTTTTAGGTGTCTAAATTCTGCCTTTTTCTTTTTTTTTTTTTTTTTTTTGTCGGTCGTGGGGCTTGAACTCTGGGCCTGGGCGTTGTCCCTCAGCTCTTCAGCTCAAGGCGAGTGCTCTACCACTTGAGCTACAACGCCACTTCCGGTTTTCTGGTGGTTTATTGGAGATAGGAGTCTCACGGTCTCTCCTGCCCGGGCTGGCTTTGAACCGCGATCCTCAGATCTCAGCCTCCTGAGTAGCTAGGATTACAGGCGTGAGCCACCAGCGCCCGGCTTAAATTCTGCCTTTTTCTTACAACACTGCAGAAAAATATTTCTGTGTCTTGAAAGTAAGTTGCTACATAATGTCTAATGCTCATTAGAACCAAATGTTCAAGACTTACGTGTGTGTGTGTGTGTGTGTGTGTGTGTGTGTGTGTGTGTGTGTGTGTATGTGTGCGCGCACTAGTTACTAGGCCTTGAACTCGGGACCTTGAGCAAGCTAGAGCTTGGCTTTTTACAGGCTAATTGGAGACAGGAGTCTCAGAGATTTGTCTGCCCAGGCTGACTCTGGACCAGGGTTCTCAGATCTTAACCTCCTCAGTTCCTAAGATTATAGGTATGAGCCACTGATGACTGGTTTAAGAGTCTTCATATAGTCATGACTGTCCCTGACACTTGACTCAGCACTCCTCAGTGCTGAGGAAGAGAGGATGCAGTGGGTACCTCTATCCCTGCTCTCTATACCCAAGGACTGAAGAACCACCTGGAAAACCAGATGGAACACAAAATCCCCTCAAGTCAATTCCAGAACACTGGTTTATGATCCTATCTTTAACAACAGTAAGTATGAAATTACAATTATTTAGGAATTGTAATAAAGGACTAAATGATTTAATACCTTCACATGTGAAGTTGCAATTAAAACTATACATGCACAGTACCATGTTATTTTGGTAGTACAGCGACACAATTTAATGATTCTAAGGATTTTTTTGTATGTTTTTTTTTTTTACAAGTCAGGTGCCATAAACATTCAAATAATCCATCTTTTAAAAAGTACGTTTACAACATTAAAAGAATTAAGATGAAATATAAACCTTTCTACTTACAATTTTTATACAGATTAACCAAATCACAGATACCACAAATAAATGTTAAAGTATAACAATATAATGAATAAACATTCAGAAATTTAATAAAATCTTCCTTTAACATTATTTTTAACTTACCATTATACTAAATAATCTATGCAGAGTTTTGGGGTACAATACCAAGAAGGCACCAACAGTACAAAGCAGATACAAAGCAGTTTCAGAACTTTCTGGAGTGCTCTATACGGATAAACAGCACAAAAAAGGCAACAAGCTTTAGGTAAACCTGGTACAATCCTAGAGAATTTCCTCTGGATTCCCAGTTGTTGCTAATCCATCATGTTAAGTTGGATGATAGCAAGAGAAACCACATAGTTACTTTACTCTTACATGCTTTTCATCTGCATTATAGGGTATCATGTTCAAACGCCAGCATAACCATTTTAAAGCGCAAATGCTTTAAAAATGTGTAAGCAAAAGGATTGCTCAGATTTTCAAAACCACTACATTTACAAAAATATTTCCCCTAAACTTGGGATTGCTCCAAAACATTGATTTACAAATATAAAAGTATTATGGAAGGACCCAAAGCATGTGTGCATATGTATGTGTATATTAACATACTGCTACTGTACTATATAAAAGTTACCAATACAAAAAAACTGTTTTAACACATAAGCAAATAAAGATAAAACAGTCTCCTCTGAATGTTATGTGCCTGTGGCTACCTTTGTGATTCCTTAGAGCTTGTAGCTCCCCAAAGCAACCATTGCCCATATGTGAAAGCAGCGAGAATGCGTGTGAAACACGTGTGAACGTACCACACATCGTGCACTGCACACAGAGCACAATCTTTTACCTAGATGGCCCAGTGGTCTGAGGTTCTCTGTCAGCCTTAGAGACTTTATGTCAGGACAGTGTCCACCAAGGGCTTTTCACATCCACCCACTGGCTTAGTTTGGTTCTGTTTTATACCAGGTGAAAGAACTGGAATGTTTAACAGGATTTTTTTTTTTTGGCTTACAATTTAGACATCAAAAACGCCATCCATCTAAAAGTTTACCTGTGCATATTAGTAACAGAGGTGTCCAGTATTGCCATTATAGAGATGACCTAATCTCTACGTCTTTATCAAAGTATAAGAGCCAAAATGATGACCATATTTGCTGTATGTAACAACTAGTAGTTTTCACAGGTCCCTTAATTATGACAATTCTCTGACCAGTTAAATTACACTTATGATAGTAAGCAAAACACAATGACAGTGATTTATAGAATGCAGCAAATGATTTCATGCCAGTCTGACTCTATAGTACCAGCAGGGGGATGGCAGAGCTCCCAGTCCCCAGTTATTACTAGTCAAGGCTGTGGTTTCTCTATTTAGAAGAGGATTGTAAATTAATCTCAGTTATAGGAATATTCCATTAAAAAGTACAAAGAAACGAGAGCAATGAAATGGTAAATGATGCTCTTTTTAAAATGAAAACTGTTTACCCATGAACCAAGTAAGAGTCAAATCTCTGCATCCACCAATGCTGGCTGGACTTTCATCTGGACTTTCATCTGGAAGTGAGAAGCATCTTTTCTAAGGCAAGAATCAAGGTGTGATTCTGAGTTATGAGGATGAGTCAGCCATCCTTCCTTAGCCTCGTGAGGTGAGCATCAGCACCCTGGGCTGAGTGCCACGTGAACCTGGGCAGCCCTTCCTAGCACAGGGCTGTGCCTAGGTAGCAGCAGCTCTGGTACTTAGGAGCAGGCCCTCTAGAGAAGGGACCAGAAGTTCCAACCTGTGATGTTTGGGCTTTGCCATCAGAGCTTGACAGACTATGTGACACCTATAATTTGAAAAGAGGAACATGTGAGCATTATCTGTACAGAGCCAGGGGGGAGGGAGACCCTTCTAAAGCCATATTATGTAAACTTGTGTGGGGCGGTGCCCAGGGTGGGAAAGTGAGGCCCATGGGCTCTTCTGTTTGACGTACAACTGAATCTAACTGTCTGTTTAAACACGCTGATTCAGAGGAAATCAACACTGAACCTTAATATGAATGTGAAGATAAAGATGACTATTTATTTCCATGAATTACAAGTGCATTGCTGTTCATATTAGCAGGCAGTCTTTATATAACCCACTCTCCACTGCTGTCAAAAATCAACTAACAACAAAAAAGGACAGCTGAGAAATGAAAAGCTAAAAATAGAAGTATTTTTCCTAAGTGATCTGCTGGGTAGCATTTTCCGTGGTACACAACTCAGAGGTAACAATAGATTTTTTTCGTTTCAATCATAGGCATGTGGCACTTGGACAGTCATCTCTGCACAGAAAGCTGTAACAGTCATGCGAGGGTACAGTAATTATTGAACAAGGCAAATTTCTCACCACAGAGAGCAGTGGGGGAGTCAGGAGGCACCGCACTGGGACAGAACACCGAGTCAACTCCACAGTACACAGTGGCAGGAACAAATACTTAAAAGAGATCAGGAAAATATGGAGAGAGCTCTGAACATGACTTAGTGCTAGCTTTTTCTTATGGTCTTAACTCAGCGGTATCAACAGAACAGTGCTTCATGTCATGAGCTCCTGAAGGCTGTATTACAAATCGTTATATTGTAGGTTGAAAATGAACTTGAGATGCTGACATGCTATAGGAGGAAAAAGAAGTGTCTACTTTCTCATTTAAAGACGCAGTGTTCCTCTCTGCTAAATCCTCAGGCATTGAATGTGGTAAGACAGCGCCGTGTGAAGCAGCATGGGGCTCATGTGCACCAGGTGTGTGGAGCTCCACCCTGGACATCAGGGTCAGCTTGCTTGCTATGCCTCCAGAAACTTCCCGCAGCTTAGTGCTGCGGCCTTTGAGTTTCTTACCAAATGTCCAGCATGGCCAGACTTACAAACACCAAGTACTGTATGTATTTTGGCAAGTGTTACACCTCTATTAACAGTATAAGGAACTGCAGTAAATCTGCAGAATGAATGACACTGCTGACTGAAGTAGTTCCTTTTAATTTGGGGGGAGGAGGGAGGAGGACTTAATTTTCTAAAAGCTGGGAAAATAACACATACCTAAATTATGTTAGTGACTTAACATGATAGAGAAAAAGATGCTGCCAAGTGCTTCCAGAGGATTCCCATGTTGGAAGCACTTGCTGCTCAATGCAATATCATCCAAGGTATTTCCACAAGCTCCTGCTTGGGGGAGACAGTTACGGTCAACATGTGAAGTGCAAATTTGGGGCTGTCACTGACTAAAGTGCCCTAGGTAGTAGCCTTCCCTATGGTAAAGTGAGATGCCAGTGACTGGAGCTAGTTGGGAAAGACTCTTATTCTGGTGAGGCTGCATGGGTCAGCAGGGCGCCATGGACACAAGGATTCAGGACAGGAAGGAACCACTGCATCTTTCAAACCAGAAAGCGATTAGTGACTAAAGCAACAGTAAGCAGTAGGTGCACTCAAAGTACATACTGCTGCAGGTCACTAGTGCATGACACACACAGGGGTGCCAGGATTCTCTGGACTGAAGGAATTCTTTGAAAGCATAATAGCCACAACTACCAGAAACCGCTCCTCCGAACGGCTCAAAGGAGTCAAAGTAGATAAGCCGAGACGGGCTGAAGACAGGACCAGGGGTCAAGAACTGGGAAGAAGAACACCGATGTCTGAGCACGTCCAGTCCTCTGAGCCCTTGTCCTATAAAAACATAAAGAGATAGACCTAAGAATAAGGACTGAACTATGTTAAAACAGCAAAAGTAGTATTATAACAAAACGGACAAGTGAAACCACAAAAGGGGGAATAAAAACTCCTGTAAAAGCTAGGTGCTGGTGGCTCAGTCCTATAATCCTGGCTACTCAGGAGGCTGAGATCTGAGGATTGCAGTTTGAACCCAGCTTAGGCAAGAAAGTCCGTGAGACTCTTATCTCCAATTAGTCACCAGAAAACCAGAAGTGGCACTATGGCTCAAAGTGGTAGAGCACTAGTTATGAGCAAAAGAGCTCAGGAACAGCACCCCAGGCTCTGAGTCATCACTTTATAGCCAGGTACAGGTGGCTCATGTTTGCAATCCTAGCTACTCAGGATGCTGAGATCTGAGGATAGCAACTCAAAGCCAGGCCAGACAGGAAAGTCCATGAGACTTTTTTTTTTTTGGCCAGAGGGCAGTCATGGGGCTTGAACTCTGGGCCTGGGTGCTGTCCCTGTGCTCTTCAGCTCAAGGCTATCGTTCTACCACTTGAGCCACAGAACCACTTCAAGTTTTCTGGTGGTTAATTGGAGATAAGCCAATTGCTTTTAACCGCAATCCTCAGGTCTCAGCCTCCTTGAGTAGCTAGGATTACAGGTATGAGCCACTGGTGCCCGGTATCCATGAGACTTTTATCTTCAATTAACCACCAGAAAGCTGGAAGCAGAGCTGTGGTTCAAGTAGTAGAGTGCTAGCCTTGAGCAAAACAGCTCAGAGACAGTGCCCAGGACTGAGTTCAAGTCCCAGGACGGACATTAAAAACAAAGGTCACTTCACTTGTACACACCTGGGCACATGTGGTGGGCAGCAGCTCTGATGAGTCCAAGGCTCTGCCTGCACTTCACAGTTTCCTTTCTTAAATAGTTCTCAGAGACTCCATAACACTCACAGGGAAGGCACATATACATACACAGTGACATTCATAGCCAGGCTGGCTTCAGTATTCAAGATACCCTTTAGTAATTATATGTGATCTGCTACTCCAAAAACCAGAACTAATTGTTTAAGGGTCTTTGTAAAATAACAGATTTCTATGCAAAAAATCCTACCCACCCTGCTTCTTTCTATTCTTAGCAAGTATTCTCTGTGGATGACCAGGTAGAGTAGTCAACTGTTCACAACAATGGAATGTGTTAATAATGCTCAAGTTTTCTCTAAAGAGAAAAACCAAATGTGGTGGGTGGTGATGCTGGAAAGGTGAGTCAATAGAGTTTTCCTACTGGTAAGAGACGGTATGGATCATCCAGGCCTGAGGGGGTCTGACAGCTAGCTATCTTTAGGCAGCCTTCACCTGTCATCCATTCTTGGTAAGGGCCACCTGGCTTCCCAGGGAGCCATATACACTTCCCTTTTGGCCTCCTAACTGTCTGTTTTAGTCGGCGAAATCCTATTTCAAAATCTACTTGGTATATATTTGCTAGCACGGACATCTAGCCAACATGTTGCTCTGACACTTCGCAAGGTACTTTTAGGGATATAGCTTTGCCTGCTACTCAAGAATAAAGGCTGGAAGGATACGCTTCAAGGCTGCATTATGGACAGGGAGAAAGCTTGAGAAGCTGACATTCAGAGGTATGCTTTATGAATTTCAGCCAAACCTGGCTTGCAGAAGTTAATGTTGCTTTTTTTTCTTGGTATGTATTGTGGCCCTTAGCCTTTTTGCTTAAGGCTGCTACTCTACCACTTGAGCCACATCTCCATTTTTGGCTTTTGCTGGTTAAGTAGAGATAAGTGTCTCAAATCAAAGACTTTCCTGCTCAGGCTGGCTCTGAACCTTCACTCATTCTCAGACCTCAGCTTTCTTTTTTTTTTTTTTTTTGGTCGGTTGTGGGGCTTGAACTCTGGGCCTGGGCGCTGTCCCTCAGCTCTTCAGCTCAAGGCGAGCGCTCTACCACTTGAGCTACAGCGCCACTTCCGGTTTTCTGGTGGTTTACTGGAGATAGGAGTCTCACGGTCTCTCCTGCCCGGGCTGGCTTTGAATCGCGATCCTCAGATCTCAGCCTCCTGAATAGCTAGGATTACAGGCGTGAGCCACCAGTGCCCGGCCAGACCTCAGCTTTCTGAGTAGCTAGAATTACAGGTATGGGACACTGGAATCTGATTTTATCTTCTAGGAAACTGAAGGATGCCAAGGTTGATGCTTCCAGTGATTAACCTATTGGAGAAAATTCATAAACAGGCAGATGTGGAGAACCTACTTCTACCTTCATAGTCTCCTGAGGCATGGGACTGAGGAGATGTGTCTGCACAAAACTCATCATAGGTGTTAATAACATAGATAATAACACACATTTTAGAGTTGTAACATGAAACATTTCATAAGCAAAATATATTGACTCTTTAAGACTTTTTAGGTTACCATTATGGACATCACTAACCCTCACTCCAGCAAGCAGACAGTTTCTTCAACCAAAAAAGTTTCCAGTATATGACTATTTTCCTACTTTTCCTATTTTTCTTGTCTTTCTCTAATATCCTGATATTTCATGTACAATTTTCTTTTTAAAAAAGCAAAATGCTTAGATGTTCTAACCTCTGTCTTTCTCAGTTATAGATGTCTGTTGTATACTGGCTTTAGAGAATTCTACTGTGATCATCAAAGTAAAGGGGCTTTGTACCCTACCACTTGGAGCAGAGTGCCATTTCTGGCTTTTTCTGGGTAGTTTATTAGAGATAAGACTCTCACGGACTTTCCTGCCCACCCAGCTGACTTCCAACTGTGACCCTCACTGGCATGGATTCACTTTTATATTTTAAGATGTCTAAATTGTGGAATAGATTGTAGATGTTGAAGGAGCAAATAAAAGGAAAGCAAGCATAGTAAAATGTTAATTGTTGCATCTAGATGATGAGATTAAGGGTTTTTAAAATTTCTTTCAGCTGGATGTTATTAGCTCACACCTGTAATCCTAGCTACTCAGGAAACTGAGCTCTGAGGATCACAATTCAAAGCCAGACCGGGCAGCAAAGTCTGTGAGACTCCAATTAACGACCAGAAAACCAGAAGTAGAGCTGTGGCTCAAGTGTATAGCACTAGCCTTGAGCAAAAGGAGCTCAGGAACAGTGCTTAAGCCCGGAATTCAAGTTCTAGGACAGGCACAAAAATAAATAAAACAATAAAAAGATGAACAAGCACATGATTAAGCAGCTATCAAAGTCTTGCCCTTGAATAAAGATAGGAAGGACTTCCAGGTCTATTAAAAGTGTGCCTTCTGGGGTTGGGAAGGTGGCTCAGTGGTAGAACGCTTGCCTTGCATGCATGAGGCGCTGGGTTCGACTCCTCAGCACCACATAAGCAGAAAAAAAAAGCCGGAAGTGGTGCTATAGCTCAAGTGGTAGCATGCTAGCCTTGAGCTGAAGAGCTGAGGTACAGCGCCCAGGCCCAGAGTTCAGGCCCCATGACCGGACCCCCCAAAAAAACTAAACAAACAAAAAAAAAAGTGTGCCATCATTCTTAAAGGAACCTGAGTAAAACTTCTAATTTACGGAGGGGGGAGGCTGGGAAGGGATGTGAAGGATAAACAAAGGAGGAGGCTGCAATGCTTGGTAAGAAATGTACGCATTATCCTGCCCATGTAACTGTAACTCCTCTGTACAGTATGTTCACAAATAAAATTAAATTTAAAAAAAAAACAAAACTTCTAATTTACTTACGATTCTAATTTAGAGAAGCTTAAAAAAAAAAAAAGAATGTAAAAGAAGGCTGAGAATATGGTTTGGTGGTAGAGTGCTTGCCTAGCATACATAAGGCCCTGGGTTTGATTCCTTAGTACCACACACATTAAAACAAAAAGAATACAAAAGAGTGGAGACTTGAGGAAGATGATGGTCTAAAGATCAAAGGGATTAGATGGTCACTCTAAACACACAGCCAGGGAGAAGGGAAAGTGGGAGAAAAATGAGGGAAGGGGTAACAAGTTTGACAAGAAATGTACTTATTACCTTATCTATGTAACTGTAACCCCTCTGTACATCACCTTGACAACACACACACACACACACACAACCATTCTCAACAAGAAGCAATTTCTCTCTTTGTAAACAGTGAACCGTGATATCCATGTTCCCTAGTAAACACGAGAGTTTTACCCTCATATACCAGGACTATGAATCTTCTAAAACATGAAGGCAGGTGAAACTGTTTCTCCCTGGGACCCCTAACCCATCTTTCTTCCCTCCTTCGGTAGGTGTACCTTATCACCTCCCTTTTCTGGCTATTTCCTATGAAAAGTCTTCTTCATGATTTTCCCTCTCATACTTACTGTCTTCCTCGTGGTTATCTTTTTGGCTTAACTCTGCTATCAGTATTTTTCTGTCTTGTCTGGCTATTACACTTGTACTTCAGTTACTGTATTTGCTCAAGTTCTATATTTTCAAATCTTAGGAAAAAAGTGTCTCAGGGGGTTAAGGTGTAGCTCAATGGTGAAGCAGTTGTTGATGTATACACGAGACCCTGGATTCCTTTCCAGAACTGCACAAAAAAGTCCTAGGTCTCCAAAGTTTTGTTAATTCTTGAGTGTTTAAAATGTCAGTTGGGTGCCAATGGCTCATGCCTGTAGCGCCAAAGTACTCAGGAGACTGAGATCTGAGGATCATGGTTTGAAACCAAGTCTGGGAAGGAAAGCACAAGGAAATGTGAGACTCTTATTTCCAACGAACTACCAAAAGCCAAAAGTGGAGCTGTAGCTCAAGTGGTAGAGAGCTACCCTTGAGCACAAAAAAATCTCAGGGTCAGTCCCCAAGCTCTGAATTTAAGTCCTAGGACCAGCACGTGTACACACATATGCATGTGAACACCCACCCACCCACACAAAATGTCATTTGGGAACTTAAGGTATGACTCAAGTGGTACAGCACCAGTCTTGAGCACAAAAGGTAAGCAAGAGTAAGAGGCCCTGAGTTCAAACCCTAGTACCCACACATAGAAAAAAAAGTCATATAAAGTATCTGTGTATATACACATACATCTACCCTCCGCTCTACCACTTGAGCCACAGCGCCACTTCTGGCTTTTTTTCTTTTTGCTTAGGTGGTACTGAGGAATCGAACCCAGGGCCTCATGCATGCAAGGCAAGCGCTCTACCACTGAGCCACCTTCCCAGCCCTCATTGTGATCTACATTAAAGATGGCCAGAAATGAAAGAATCCCAGGTGTATCATTTAACAATGGTAAAAAAACAAAATATAATTTCCCTTGTTTAAATCCTCAAACAAAATGCTATTGAAGAAGAATATACTGAATTCTTTTGAACATTATTTAACTTACTTCTTTCTCCCTTGCTAGGGTTAATAGTATACTTAAGCAGGGCGCCAGTGGCTCATGTCTGTAATCCTAGATCTGAGGATCCTGGTTCAAAGTCAGCCTAGGCAGCAAAGTCCATGAGACTTTTCTTTCTAATAACAACCAGAAAACTAGAAGTGGTTCTGTGGCTCAAAGTGGTAGAGCACTATCCTTGAGCAAAAGAAGCTCAGGGACAGTGTCAGGCCCTGAATTCAAGCCCAAGGACTGGCAAAAATAAACAACAGGAAAAAAAAAAACCACCAAAAAACAAAAAAAACCTAAGTCCCAAAAAACAAAGAAGTTTCATATACCTGACAAATTTAAGATCTGTATCCTGGCTGGAATCTAGCAGTCTCTTCAAAGATGAGTTCCTTGAGCCTTTCCTTAGGCAAGTCATCCAATTCCATGTCAAACTTGAATGGTGCTTCAGCAATGGGCTTTAAGAGAAAACAAACATTGAATAGTCAAAAGTAGTTATGGTTAAGCCAGTAATTTTTTGATTCATAAAATGGCTGGGCGTACATTCTGAACATGCAACAGGACTGGTATTTCATAAAACCTGAGAGCCTCAGGGCTGGGGATGCAATTCAGTGGTAGTATGCGTGCTTACCATATGCAAGGGCAGATGGTAGATTCCAACCCTAGTATTGTACAAAAAGAAGACAGACTGGGAACATATCAAGTATATATGGAAATATCAAAAAGAAACCCTTTGTGTAATGTAAACTAATAAAAAAGAGGAAGAAGAAGAAAAAAAAACCTGGGAGAAACTGAATTCATTTTGAGTTTACTGCTGAACTTATCATAAATTCTAGAATAATTTTTATATAATGTTGCAATAGCAAAATGTGCTGTCGTGGGGTGGTTTCATGTTCATACAATCAAAAGCATAAAACTAGGGCTGGGAAGGTGGCTCAGTGGTAGAGTGCTTGCCTTGAATGCTTGAGGCCCTCGGTTTGATTCCTCAGCACTTAAGTGGCACTGTGGCTCAAGTGGTAAAGCACTAGCCTTGAGCTGAAGAGTTTAGGGACAGTGCCCAGGCCCAGAGTTCAGGCCCCACAACCAGCAAAAAAAAAAAAAAAAAAAAAAAGCATAAAACTAAACGAAATGCATTTGATTAGATATGAAGATAATATTATGTGAATATTGTTATTGTCTGAAAAATATTATAGAGAAAATAAAAATGAAGCTGTGAGGAAGAGTAATACTATTGGAAAATGTTCATGTTTGCAAAAGTTTCCTGCAAAGTAGTAAGACTTAGAAATACTCCAAATAGATACACCCACATACACACATTTTTTTAAACTGGCACTGGTGTTTGATTTTAGGTTTGTGATTGCTAGGCAATTGAGCCACATCCCAAGTCCAAATAATTTTTAAACTTTTTTTTGAGACAGGGTATCTATGTATGTAAAATGTGTATGTGTGTCTGTGTGCATGTATTATACAACAGACACATAGCCCAGACTTGCTTCAAACTCCTGTTCCTCCTGTCCTCTTTTCCTAAATACTTGAATTACAGGTATGCACCACCAGGAGTGCTAAATTTTGAGAAGCCCAGTACTGTATGTTACAGGACTAAATTGAGAATGATACATACTATTAACTAGTGGATACCTAGACAGTCAGACCTACTCCTTACACATGGCTTCTAGAGGAAGATGGACTTCAAACAATGCACTATGCTTTAGCTGCTTGAAAGGGGAAAGGATTCATATCCAAACAAGAACAAACAAGTAGCCCTGCCTAAAGGATGTTTTAATGTTTGGGATCATATCAGGTATCCTACATATTTCATCCAGTGCTCCAGGACACTGATTAATCAGGACACATCAAGAGGCTGGAAAGATCCTCATCCTTGTATTTCTACCTCTTTCATTACTGACTGTGCTGTAGACATCTCTGTAAGCTTTCCCAAGTGTTTAGGAGGTAGATGTAAAGAAGCTGACTAGTACACTTCCATGAGTACTATCTTCTTTATTAGCTTTTTTTTTTCTTTTTCATTCTGTCCTTGATAATTATTTTTTGGTTGGTCATGGGGCTTGAATTCAGGGACTGGGTACTGTCCCTGAGCTTTTCTGCTCAAGGCTAGTGCTCTACCATTTTGAACAAGAGCACCACGTCTGGTTTTCTGGTTGTTAATTAGAGTCTCACAGACTTTGCTACCCGGTCTGGCTTTGAACTGTGATCCTTAGATCTCAGCCTCCTGAGTAGCTGGGATTATAGGCCACCAGTACCCAGCTGAAGGCTTTTTTTGTGTGTGTGTGTCGGTTGTGGGGCTTGAACTCTGGGCCTGGGCACTATCTCTAAGCTCTTCAGCTCAAGGCAAGCACTCTACCACTTGAGCTACAGCGCCACTTCTAGTTTTCTGGTGGTTTATTGGAGATATAGAGTGACTTTCCTGCCTGGGCTGGCTTTGAACCGTGATCCTCAGATCTCAGCCTCTTCAGTAGCTAGGATTACAAAGCGTGAGCCACTAGCACCTGGCTGAAGGCTTTGTTTTCTTCCACTCATGCTGCATTTTTCTTCGTTATCCTCCAGAGAATAAAGGCTAAAATGGAACTCATAGAGGAATCATAGAAGCAAGGCAATGGAACTGTACTGGAAGGAGCTGCCACACCCAACTCTGGACTTATTGTGCACAACAGGTTCTGTCTCTAGGAAGTGGCATGCCCAACAGAGCCATCAAACTAAGGCATAAGCCATGCAGGCTGACCTCTTGCTCTGCCTGGTGTTCTCCGAGTAGCTGCCAGCCTCTCTAGTCTCAAATCCTAGGAAAGGCGCATCGGTTCAGATGTTTCTAGCTAGATGTCTATAGCCTTAGGCCCTTCCCCTTGCCATGATCCAGTGGTATAGCTGTTTCCCTTTGTCCATCTAATGTTCCAGCCCCTATTTGCTGTAGGTGGCCTGGGGAAAGTTTTCTGAGGTAAAGAGAATGGGCTTGGGGACAGGAGAGTTGACCTATGACCCCCATGTTCATCCTCAAGGTAGAGGAGGTATGTTAGAAGGACCAGTAATGCCACCATTCACTTCTTAGAACAACCTAAGCAGGAAATAGTTTGGACTGCTATTGGCTGGTCTAAATCTCTGTTTTTGTTTTTGCCAATTCTGGGCTTGAACTCTGGGACTGGACACTGTCCTTGGGCTCTTTTTGTTCAAGGCGAGCACTCTATCTGGTCTAAATCTCTGAAGCAGCAGTCAGGAGTATGGATTCTTACCTCATCACTCGGGTCATAATACTGCTCCAGATATGGGTGGGCCAGAGCCTGTTCAACTTCAATCCTCTTGTGGGGGTTGAATGTCAACATTTTGTCCAGTAAATCCAGAGCTACAAAGAGAGATTTTGTAGTGGTGAGAAGCAGAAGTAGTCATTAATATGCTTCTGATTTTCTGTTTAACTTGACCTACAAGACTATAACAGAGTGAGGCATCACTGTTGGATGAGCACACAACACACCCAAAGCCTCCTTCGTCTCTGAGTCCCTTAAATGGTGAAAATCTCATTCTGTCTTCCTCTTCTCCAAAAATGGCACCCCTATAGGTTTCCTTCTTTTGTTTTCATAGTTGCAAATAATCTATTTTGATAGTATTCAGACCTCCTTTATCCTCCCTGCCAGTCCAATCCCTTTCCATCAGCACCTAATCAATGACAGTCTATTTCTCTCCTCTCATCCCCCTGCTGATCAACAGCCTTAGCTGAGTTTCTCTATGCTAACCTCCGTCTACTTGCAATGAATTACGAAGTCATTTACTCCTTCTTTTTCCATTCTCCCCTCCCCTTCTCAGAGTAGCCTCTTAGCTTGATTCATGTTCTCTGTTAAACTGTAAAAAATATGTGTGGATGTGTGTTTTAGAGAGAGGGGGAGAAGAGAGAGAGAAAGGGGGGGAGGGAGAGAGAGAGAGAGAAAGATACGAATATGCCTTTTAGGTCTGGCTTCTACATATGAGTATAGATCCTAGCTCACAGATCCTCAAGCATCTCAGAAGGAAGAATCCTATGTTCAAGTCTGAAAACCTATTTTAAGTCTAAAAAAAGAGTAGCTAATAAAGAACACAAATTTTTAGTGAATGTAAGCAACACTGAAAACAGAAACAAAAATATGGCATCTACTTAATGAAGACTCTTAGCTCACTTGCAGGTGGGAACATCATCCACCTGCAAATTAAATTAGCACATGCTATTAAGCCCTATGATCATTTAATAACCAAAATGTTGGTTTAATATTCAATATCAGCCTAAGAAATCAGTTTTCTTTCAAAAAGTGAGTTTTAATGACATTAAAAAATGTTCAGGGACTAGGAAGGTGGCTCAGTGGTAAAGTGCTTGCTTTTGCATGCATGAGACCCTGGTTTGAGTCCTCAGCACCACATAAGCAGAAAAACTGGAAGTGGCACTGTGGCTCAAGTGGTAGAGTGCCAGCCTTGAGCTGAAGAGCTGAGGGCCAGCGCCCAGGCCCAGAGTTCAGGCCCCATGACCGACAAAAAAAAAAAAAAAAAGTTCAGCCACGTGCTGGTGGTTCCATGCCTAAACAATCCTAGCTATTCAGGAGGCTGAGCTCTGAGGATCACAATTCAAAGCCAGCCTAGACAGAAAAGTCTGTGAGACTTATCTCTAACATTAAACTACTCAGAAAAAGCCAGAAGTGGCATTGTGGCTCAAGTGGTAGAGTGCTAGCTTTGTACAAAAGAAGTGTAGGAACAGCGTCCAGACCCTGAGTTCAAGCATCAGTATTCCCTGCCCTCCTACCCTGGCCACAAATGTTCAATTTATGAGAATAGACAAGTAAACCTTTTGAAGTGAAGTGACCACTTGTCTGCTAGGTTCTCTCATGGCTGAGGTTACTTAGAGAGTATGGGTTTGCATGCTCATGCTCAGTTCTGGTATTCACTTTCCACTTTCCATATGGCATATACAACAGAGCCAATTCTTGATCTTTTTTTTGTCTTTTGTTTTTTTTTTTTGGTCAGTCATGGGGGCTGAACTCTGGGCCTGGGCACTGTCCCTCAGCTCTTCAGCTCAAGGCTAGTGCTCTAGGGGCTGGGAAGGTGGCTCAGTGGTAGAGCACTTGCCTTGCATGCCTGAGGCCCTGAGTTCGATTCCTCGGCACCACATAAGCAAAAAGTAAAAACCCAGAAGTGGTGCTGTGGCTCAAGTGGTAGAGCGCTAGCCTTGAGCTGAAGAGCTGAGGGACAATGCCCAGGCCCAGAGTTCAGGCCCCATGACTGGACCCCCCCCAAAAAAAGAGGCTAGTGCTCTACCACTTGAGCCACAGCATCACTTCTGGCCTTTTCTGCTTATGTAGTGCTGAGGAATCGAACTCAGGGCCTCATGCATGCAAGGCAAGCGCTCTACCACTGAACCACCTTCCCAGCCCACCTTGATCTTTAAGACAAAAGAAATAGTGCAATAAACCATGGTGGTCACTGAAAAATTCCACATAGCACAACATCTCTTTTATTCAATATGTACATTTTGGGGGGGGGGGGGTTGAGAGGGGAGTTGGTCCTGGGGCTTGAACCCAGGGCCTGAGCATTATCCTTGATCAATTTTTTTTTCTTTTTTGTCAGTCGTGGGGGCTGAACTCTGGGTCTGGGCGCTGTCCCTTTAGCTCTTCAGCTCAAAGCTAGTGCTCTCCTACTTCAGCACCACTTCTGGCTTTTTCTGCTTATGTGGTGCTGAGGAATTGAACCCAGGGCCTCATACATGCAAGGCAAGCACTCTACCACTGAACCACCTTCCCAACCCCATCTTGAGCTCTTTTGCTCAAGGTTAGTGCTCTACTAATTTTTTTTTTTTTTGGGGGGGGGGGGGGTCCGGTTGTGGGGCCTGAACTCTGGGCCTGGGCGCTGTCCCTCAGCTCTTCAGCTCAAGGCTAGTGCTCTACCACTTGAGCCATAGCACCACTTCTGGCTTTTTTGTTTTTGCTTATGTGGTGCTGAGGAATCAAACCCAGGGCCTCATGAATGCAAGGCAAGCGCTCTACCACTGAGCCACCTTCCCTGCCCCAGTGCTCTACTATTTGAGCCACAGTATTATTTTAAGCAACCCCTCCCCTCAACCCCTGTACTGGGCCTGAACTCAGGCCTTATGCTCTCATCTTGTGCTCTACCATTTTGAACCACATGTCTCCACTTCTGGCTTTTTGTTAAGTAACTGGAGATAAAGTCTTAAGATTTGTCTGCCAGGGTTGGCTTTGAACCACAATCCTCAGAACCCAGCTTTGTGAATAGTTAGAATTATAGGAGTAAGCCAATGGCACATCTGGCTTCTGACAGCATTATTTCTATGCTATCAAGGGTACTTCTCTGTTCAAACTTGTTGGTATTAAGTAGGAAGGTACTTCAAGGCAACTGAGTATTTTGCAGCTTAAGCATTTCTAAAACAGATCTGTTCTTTCAAAATTCTAGGTCCTTCCAGGCAAAAATTTCTAAAGAAAACATTTTTTTCTTAGTACTTAAAAAGTAACTGGCTCTCAGCCTCCTTATACTGCTATTTCTGCATTATTCACAGCTACCAAAGGAGAAAAAACGAAATGGGAGGCAGTTGGCAGGTGCTGATCCCACAGTCAGAGTGCTCCCCCTCCTCTTCCTCCCACACCACACAGCAATCCACTGGTACCACTCAGATGGTGTGAATCATGGCTGTTTGTGTGCATGCTTACTTGGGCACAGGTTTCCTTCCCCTGAAAGATTGGAAGTCCCTCCAAGGCTGGTATTACATTTGACCATGATCCCTAGCTCTTACTACTATCCACCCAGAATTCCATCCCTTCTAATATTACACTAAAGAATACAGTAAGCTGCCTCTCTCTCTTTTCTATTTATCAGGACTTTTCCTCCTTGTGCTAGCCCATGCACACACATGAGCACACACACATACACAGAATTAACATCTAGAAGATTTAGGCTGTTGGAATGGTGCAAACCAGTACAGCACTCACGGAAGTTGAGCCAAAGAAGATCATGAGTTTGAGACCAACCTATGCTGTTTAAACAGACCTTGTAAGTAATAAGCTGAATGTCAGTTAGCCCATGCCTATAATGTTCCCTACTCAAAAGGCTAAGACCTGGAGCATTACAATTCCAAGCCAGAAAAAAAAAAAAAAATTCTAAGCCAGCCTAGGCAGAAAATCTGTAAGTCTCCATCTTCAACTCACTGGCAAAATGTTAGACTAGAGATATGGTTCAAATAGTAGAGTGCCATCCATGAGCAAGAAACGGGGTGAGCAAGAGCACAAGGCCTTGATCAAAGTTCAATCCCTAGTACTTTGATCCTATTTACAACTAATATATAAATGTGGGCAATGACTCAGCAGAAGTGTCAAACAGGTTTTCTAAGGGACAGATTTCTGACATGAACTACATTAAAAGAGGGGAGGAATACATCAGAATTTTACCTTTTTTTGGGGGGGGGGGGGAGAGTTGGTTGTGGGGCTTGAATTCTGGGCCTGGGCACTGTTCCTCAGCTCTTCAGCAAAAGGTGACTGCTCTACCATTTGAGCCATAGAACCACTTCTGGTGGTTTACTGGAGATAAGAGTCTCATGGACTCAAAGCCAGCCCAGGCTGGCTTTGAACCACGATACTCAGATCTCTGAGTAGCTAGGATTACAGATGCCACTGGCATCCGGCTCTACCTTTCTTTAACAACCATCTGTTGGTTTTGCATGCCAGTGGCTACTACCCCATAGCATTCAAATTACATTTGCCATAAGGCATCTTAGGCTACTTGCTATGCTGTGGGAATGGTGGCACTGGCTGGGCCACCTTACCAGGGCTCCTACTTGGCCATGATGAGTGGTTAGAGGAGGGAAAGGTACTTAAGTTGGGCACAAAGAGACAATGAGACTCAGCCTGTGACTTGGGCTGAAAGCATCAGGAAACAGAATGTGGCTGATAAGGATGTGTAGAAGACAGCAATGCTAATTCCAGGTGAAGTGACTGTGCTTACAAATCCAAATTCTACTAGACTTTTCTTCCAGTTATGGGTACTAAGAAAGTCCTTCTGGCTTAAGTTGGTTGGTAATAAGATCTTGTTATATAGTACTGAAAAGACCTTAAACAGGTGACACATAAACCTGCCCCTAAATCTCCTCATAAGGCCCTTGAGCCTATCTCTAAGAATACTTCTAATTTTAAGGGGTATTTTTGTTGTATATTTCATATAGTTTGAATCATACTGTGTAACAAATGCTGTATTACTTTTCCATAGTAAATATTCATCATTATTTTCCCAAGTTAAAAAACTTTGCAAAAATAACTCTTAGTGGCTTTATAATATTCTTTTAAGTAGATAATTATCATTGGCATTTAGGTGGTTTCTAATGCC